CGCGGCCCAGGAGCCGCCGCGGCGGCTGCCACTCAAAGTAACGTGGGGCGCGGCGGCGGAGCCCCCCGGGTGCCAGCCAGGGCCAGGCCCGGAATGGGGGCGCTCCTGCGCCCAGGGCCACCTCGTCACCCCGCGGCGGGCGGGCAGAGCGGGGCGCCCCCGAGCCCCCCGGCAGCCGCCGGGCTCCTCTGCGGCGCTGCCTTCCATCTCTGCGTCGGCTCCTGTTCGCACTTAGCGGCTCTGCGTGCGGCTGAATTATTGATGCCTCTTTTAGCTTTCATCTGGCGCTGGCGGCAGCGGGGAAGGGCTCGGCGGCCCTGCATTCGTGATGAGTCGCCCGCCGTGCGGCCGCCCAGCGGCCCGGCCTTGCGGGCACCGCCGCGGCCTGAGCCCCCCGCGGAGGCCGCCGGCAGGGAAGGGTCGGAGGCAATTCCCGCTGCTGCCAGGGAAGGAGCTGGAGCCAGGGATGAGGGCTAGGAACATGTGGAAAGCCGGTGCCAAGCTGGCACCGCGCCCCCGAGGAGGAGGATGCCGGTTTCCTGCATCTAGAGAGGACGGGAAGGGGGAAGAGATGGGAGAGCCACGTTCTACCGAGTCCCTGGGAGCTCCAGTTTGGGATGGAACGGAATGTGGACCGAGAGGTGAAGATGCTGCTGCTGAGGGGGGGCAGAAATGCCCAAGGCCCAGGGAAACTGAGGCACGGGGCAGCAAAGCAGGACCCCACGCGGCAGAGACACCCCTTTCCTTTAAGGGAGGGGGGAAAGGGTGAAGGAGGGAGGAATTGAAGTCAGCCYGAAGGCCCCAAAAAGCAGGCAGGAAGTCACAGTCTTAACCAACCTTCTTATTTCTTTATTTGAAAGGCACAGCTTGTACGTCCTCGATACAGCATTTTCAGTTCCTCTTATTATAGGTCAAGTGATTAAACACAAAAGCAAAACAAGATCTCTCTAAAGGACTATATACAAACACCAGATTATTATTTCTTTTTTTTTTTTTTTTGTTGTTCCATTTTTGTTTTTTTTAGAAGACACGCTAGCGCACGGAAATAAGAACAGAGAGAGCTGCTGTATCCTCTACGCGGAGGGAGGGGAGCGGGGCTCCCGGGCGCCCCGCTCCTGCGCTCGCCCCTCGCGGGAGCCCCCGAGCCCAAGGAGGAGGAAACGCGGCGGGCAGCGAGCAGGGCGCTACTGCGGAGCGGCAGGACTGCTTCAAAACAGAGATACATGCAGAAGAGCAAGGTGCCGGCCTGGTATTAGTGCAGGGGCAGGTGGGGAGCAGGAGCGGAACCAGGGGGACGCAAAGAGACCAAGAGCTTGGGCCGGGGCGGCCGCGGGCAGGGCGCCCGGCGGGGACTTGTGCAGAAACCGCGAGGATGGAGGGTCATCTTTAAATACCAACGGGGGAGGCGGGCGGAGGGGAGCGGCAGCGCCCGAGGGCCCCCGGGAGCCCCAGGGCGGCGCGAGCCGGGCCCGGCTCCGTGCGGGAGCAGGGGGCCGGGTGCGGGGGGCCGCACGGTCACGGCCGCGGGGCCAGCGTTGCTGCRAAGGGCAACTTCTGCTGCGCAGCAACTCGAGAGACCCTGCGCCCCGCGGGGAGCCGGCCCCCCGGCCCCGCCGCTCGCTCTAATCCGACTTCTCCCCGTCGTCGTCTTGGTGGGCGTCCCCGTCGTGGCCGTTCTTGTCCTCCTTGGAGAGGTGCGCCTGGGAGCCGAGGGCCGAGAGCGAGAGCAGCCCCGTGCCGGCGCTCACGGCGGGCAGCGCCGGCGGCTGCAGCCCCACGGGCAGCGGCGTCAGCGGCAGAGCGAGGGCTTGGAGCTGCGAGAGCTGGTGCGCTTGAAGCTGCTGCTGTAGGGAACGACGGGCACGCGGGGACACGCGGGAAGCACGTTGTCATTTTCAGGGCGCTCGAGCCAGGCCACCCAAACGCTGCCCAAGGGGCGCACGGGGCCCCTGGCCCAGCTCGGCCCCGCCGGGGTCCCGGCCGGCCCCCTGCCCCCGGCCCGGACGTCCCAGCTCCCTCCTAACCCAAACTAAACGTGCGTCACGTACGCGGATGATGGAGTTCAGCTCCGGCGCCGTCACCTGCTTGGCTCGTTCGATGGCTCCCAGGACTTGCTGCTGATGCTGGGGTGGAGAGAGCAGAGCCGGTCGTTTGTGCCAGTCCGTGCAGTGAGGGGCAGGGAAGGGGCAGGGAAGGGGCAGGGAAGGGGCAGGGCTGTCTCATTGCAGCCCTTTGCCCACGGGGTTAAGCACTGGCTGCTCCTGTTCCCTGCTCTGTGCTTGCTGGCAGCTGCAAGGCCCAGCAGCCCTGAGCCAAAGGGCTTTAAAGCCTCAGAAATGAGATCTCTATCCCCCTCAATAATCCCACCTTACCCACCCCCTCCCCACACCCCCTCAGGAAAAGAAAAGAAACGAAACAGATTTTTGACATCTTTTTTGAGACACTTTTGGGATGTTCCCGTCCTCGGGACGGGTCC